GCCTGACTCCTTGGCGACCAATCATTTAAGATCTTTTAAATAGAGCGTTGAAATCCAAACCCAGCAGTGAGCTTGTAAACGAAGTCGTAATCAAAAAGTTTACGTCTCATTTCAAGAGAGTCTTCCTTGAGGAGATCCAGTCTGTCTTTATATGGAACATGGAACATACCTTCACGAGCGAAAATCCGCTCAGTGAAACTAGACTGAACACTCTCAATGAGTTCCACCATAGAACGAGTGGAAGGACTCCACAACATGGGGCAGTATTCCAAGATAGGGCGCACGTAGGTGACAAAGAGTGGGAGTAGCGTTTTAATTTTTTAATCAATTTTTTATCTATCAATATCTGGTGTCTATAACGAAGAATTTGTAGTGAGCTTCCGTAAGAGCCCTTTCTGTAATGGAGTGTGTGGGACGCTGCTGGCTTCTTATAAAAATATCAAAAGATCGAAAGCGCTGGTAAAGGTGAAACACGCTGTAGCGGTGAACGACATGCCTATTGAAGCTATTGCAGATAGTGTTGGTCTTCAGATTCAGATTAACTGCGCTCTCTCAATCAAGCCAACCCGCACGAGTCAATCGGCTCAGTGGCTACCACTGTAACCATAATACCTACAGTTACGCAAATCGTGAAGGTCTTCCCTCTTTCGGAAAGGTGTCACAGCTCAGCCAAATGATTGTTCGTGATAAGACCAGTGATGGCAGGAAGTGCGAGATGAGAACAGTCTGCAACTTCTTCCACAGCTTCCCCGTATGAATGCTGAGACGTCACTGTTGCTGATTCGAAGTGACACTCCTATGTATACTAACTGCACGCAGAAGGGCAGTGGCTAGATTGATCCGAAAGAAGGCCTGAAAATTAACAAGTTCAGCAAAGGGTCATACCATCCGTCTTGTGGGATGCTCGCGGATGAAGCCAACTAGAAGTTCACCTTCGCTCCAGCATGGACACTAAAAAGGACAGCGAGGTCTGTTTGGCAGCGAGTGCTACTAGAAAATTAACAAAACTGGTTCAGTGACCTCAAAAAAGTAGTTCGCATTCACAACAGCTACAAGTTCAAAAGATTGTGCAACTCCTCGAGCTTGCTTGAGAAGTCTTACCAGATCCACCGAACAGCGCTAACTAGCCTCCTCCCAACTGCTACCTTCTTGAACACTTCACAAACCGAAACAAAAATACAGTTCAAAGAAGAACCTCAAAATCGACCTCACTACCTTTTCTTGCTTGAAACCTCCAACTTTTTGGGAACACGACATCTGCTCACCAGTGAATCGTTGGTAACAAGTCACTGATAGTGATGCTTCATAACGGCGGATAATTTTTTTTTTTCGTTTAATAATGTCAACTAAAAAACATTTAAAAGCGGCACGAGCTTTGGGACACGTCACATATTCGATGCTTTTCATTATTTTATAAAAAAGGAATTGTCTCGAATGTTTGTGGGCAAAAGAAAAAGTGTCAGGATTTCCTATGGCGCATGTACTTTTTCGTCATCCTGTACAGGAATCCGAACTTTAGTATGATCTACTATTCTGGCCAGGACAGTTCTTCCAACTATTTCTTGACATTGCGACGGAACTAAATTACTATGCAAACAGTCCAAGATAACTCTAACGTCTTCAGGCAATATCCGTCGTAAGCTGAGCAACTGGAAGGACCTTCGCTCTCTCAAAAAGCAGTATCGTCAAATGAAGCAGAGGCAGAAACAGGCCGCAGTGATTTTGCACAGTTCGTTTTACACAAATCTCAACCTTTTTACCAGCTACGCACAGAACATCCATTTCAGATGCCTATTTGCATGGGCTCAATGCAGATGTGAATCAAAATAAATCAATTTCGCCAAGTTTTGTGCCCACTTTAATCACGCCACCAGTGTTCAATCACCTTCTCATGGGCCCTGCCCTAGCCAGGGATGGCTGCTTGTGAGTGTTATATACGTCCTTTTCACTGATCTACGACTCAACATGACAGTTTAGGAATAATCGACCTACAACTCTGTCCGGTGGTGCAGTACAATTAGCAGCTACAGTGATCCAGCCGTTAGACTACAGCGCAAGGGTATCTCGAGCAAACTCAGCACGTCCAAATTTTGATAGCAGCGCTCGTGCACTGAAAAATGGACATTCCATCGACGCACACCAATTGACGAGTAAGAATTAATCTGACACTATACCGAATTCTGGGAATCCTTCTGGTTCCACGGCTTTGCAGTCATAAAATGTTCAACTAGATCCCCCATCTCTTCAGTTCTAGATTGCTTTCAAAGGCTGCTGAATAGAAGAGTCTCTATTTGGGTTTCAGCAACACCTATCCGTTTTGTTAGAAAAAGGCTGAAAGCTTCTCAGTGGATAACAGTTTGTCCCGTTTTTTGGCACTCAGATACGTTGAGTAATTGAATGTCCATCCATTCCTGAAGTGCGATTCTTCTTTGCCTTCCACGACGTTCTACCTTGCCAACTCGAAGATATTGTCTCCTCGAGCAGGTGGTCTTGCAGGCAGCTTACAAGATAAGAACTCCGCGTCCTCACCGCCCACTTTTTAGTCGCGGCTCCAGGGGTTTTTCTCTCGCTAGGAGGGACTAATTCGGTACCTAATCCTGACCCGTGGCTTAAAGCCCTTTAACATTATACCCACAACGTTGAGTCTCCAGAATGAGATTGCATAACTGTAAGCAAACCAAAATTGCAGTAACGTTCACACTCAGTATGAATCGTTCAGTCACATCTCGCCGTCTGAGCAGGCGTGTCAATAGGTTTATCGCGGCGGCCGCCTACTTGATATTCTGGGGGGGGGGGGGGAGGGTGAGCAAAAAGAGTCCACTTTGCTTATAGGCGCATATCAACAAATTTGCCGCATGGGGTGCCGCTGTTATTGGAGTTAGGCCGATGTCAGACTTTGCGAATCGCGCGATTCGCTAGCGTCCGCGGTCGCGTTGCGGTACCAGCCAATTGAGTGATTCACTGGCCGCGACGCGACCGCAGACGCTAGCGAATCGCGCGATTCGCAAAGTCTGACATCGGCCTATTACGGCGAAAATGCTGTCCCCCTCAGCACAGCAACCCGCCCTTCCTGCTTCACCGTTATCCAAGAATATGACATCGTCAGTCTTGAGAAGGTTTATCATAATCGCCCATTCTGAGCTGGCTATAAATTTCTTCAATCGGATCCACTGGAAATGGCTTATTACGGTTCGTAATCGGTCTATGGTACCTCGACGACCGTCGTTGAGCTCGTACCGTGCACCATGTTTCCGTGGGAAAATCTTCTGATGTCGTCGGTGTAGAAAGCCCCTATGTAATTTTTTGATAGAATAGAATGTGCTCTTCAATATGCAATTGAGCTCATTCGGTTTGGTTTTGGCAAAGTGTAATTAATTCTGTTTTGATGTGAGATGAGAGTGACTCTTTTGCCCCCCCCCCCTGTAGAAGGCGCGTGGATGAGCTCTTTCCACCATGCTTTGCTGGTCCAGCGCACCCTGTACAATACGAATAAGGATGGAGAGGCTAACCACCGCGATTTCTTGTTTGTCCATCGTGGCTCGTACGGCAGTGAAGTAAGAGCCCACATTTAGGGGTATTTAGAAATTTCCTTTTTTTCGTCTTCGCAATCCACTTCGCAAAGCTGATTTGTTTTGCTGTGCAAAGGCCACACCATTTTCATTGTGGAGTGCTTCTGAGCGCATCAACTTCGTTTTCTTCCTGTCATGAGCGCAAATTCCCCTGCATGCTTTCTATCCTTGTGCCTAGGAACTGAACATACCTTGAAAAAGAACTCTCTTACGCGACTAAAATGAAATTCGCGCCAATTAACATATTAACATTCTAAAATTTTACAGCACTCCGTATTACCGAGACCCAATGAAACTTCTTCATCTGAAGAGGCGGCACTCAGCAAACACTCCTGTGTCAACACTCTCCTCGTCAAATCCCGAGTACACTGATCCAGCCAATAATCATTTAGCCCTACAGCGCCTCGCACTTCATGTTCCTCGAATGTTAAACTTGATATGAAAAGTTATTCTATCTAAAAATAATAAGAAAATAAAGCTCCATCAAACGGGATCGCAAAAAATAAAAAATAAATATAAAATGGAGTAGTCAACAACACTGCGAAAAGGCAGTCGGTAGTCCGCTTCCAAACATAGGTGGCCATTTGGAAATCACATTAGCGAGTTTATTTCTAGACCACAATGAAACGTCTTGCAATAAGAAAGCATATCGAGAGAGTGATCTATATTGGACGTCAGTGGAAAATTATTCTCCGAGCAAAAGTTCTGCTCGAAGGATTTTGAATCCAAAACGTTGCACGTTTGAATGTGATAAGATCGGTAACAGGGGAAAAGGCTACTCACTTTCATCGTTACCTATGCGAAAACCTAACACATCGACGTGCCTTTTTTCTGATAGCAGTCTGCGATGACTGGCACCGTTTTCGAAAGAGAAAAAAGCAAAGAAGCAATATTTTTTAACACGTTGACGACAACGCGCGTTTTGGGTTTTTGCACCGCGTGGGACCACGGCGATTTTGCAGGCGCCGCCGCCTCACATCAAATCCGTGAATTTTGAGCTTTAAATACCCAAAACTCGGATGCAACAAAATGTTTCGAATGATATTCGATGTGTCAAACTTATCAGAAGGAACAGCTGGAAAAATCGATCGAATTGACGTTTTCTGGCAATGAAAAGGCAAGTTTCAGTTGCTTTTGCTGTAGTAAACCTCAAAATTATTTTTGACATGGTTGCTCCACTAAATACATGTATCTTGCATATGTGTAGGCCTGTACTTACTTCTACTACTCTTTTTTATGACCAAGATTGTCAGATTATAAAGAAAACTGGGAATGAACACAATAGGGAAATTCGTTAGACTAGGAAAACCTTCGCTAAAAAGGAGCATATTCAACCATTCAATGAACCTCGCCGTGTCTAGTCATATTATGGTGTGGTCTATAGAATAGATGCAAAAAATTAGAAAAGAAGTAGCGCATGCGCGAAAAAAATAAATATTTTGTGTGTGCAGCGCATGCGCTGCACACGGTCCCACACGGTGCTCAAGGTGTGATGCGCATGCGCTGCACAATGTCGTCAACGTGTTAAAATATTGTGTACCTAATAAATTGCCATCGAAAGGGAATTTTCACGATAGAAAATCCATATGGGCTCGATAATACCGCAGTTCAGAGTTATAGTCATTTATAGCTGATTCACTGCGTGTACCGAACCTCGCTTTCGACTCCTTCCTTTTCTTGATCCAATAAGTCCTCGAATTCCATTGGCACATTTGGAAGCAGCGCAATCGTCGCGTTCGCACTTTCCAAAAAAATGCGACCCTCCCATCCCCCTCCCTCGCCAAATAGAGTCTCGATGCGACCCACCCACCATTATCTTTAGGAGATCGTGACATTACGACACCTTTCCTCTCTTCCCCGATCACCACTCTCACCATCATGTCTGTTTCTATAGTTTTATTCTGACAATGAGACCAGTCGACAAACGTAACTCCGTCTACTTTTTCTTCTGTTGGAGGAGGGAAGGTGACCTGAAGGCACATCCTTCTGATTTTCACCACTTCATGCTCTTCGCCTAGAGTTTCCGCCAAATGTAAAACTCCGTCAGATTCAGGCCTCTTTCTAGACCAAAAAAAAAAAAAAAAAAAAAAAAAAAAAAAAAAAAAGCTCCCTTCACGTTTTTAGTGTAGTTAAATTCGCTGCAATTCCGAAATGCGCCGCCCTTCCAAATCGTGAATCCCCGCGTTTGAACAGTTGCGAACGATGGTTGACCTGCTTAGGGAAGGTGGATATGAAGAGAAAGATAACAGGTACCCATATATGCTTTACGATTAACAAATTTCAAATCCCATGTTTTTCCCCCCCTTGTCTTTATAAAAAAAGCCTCCTACTGCGGTGGCCTAAGCGATGCACGCTTCTGTCTCCTTAAGGAGTGTATGAGGATGAATGAGCAAGGTGACCAATAGCGTGCCGATCAAGTGTTGTTAAAGCCTAAAACACTGATGCACTATGACGTATACATCAAACAAGAAGTGCCCACGATGAAGTCTCGATGTTGTTCGCAACCCAAAGCAGAATAAGAAGGGGATCATTAATGGGGCAGACAAAGATCTCATTAAAACGCATTGGGGATCTTGTGCCATAAATTTCCGTTCGACTGTTTCCATGTTTTCAAAGTGTAGGCTTCCTTCTGCTTATGCCGAAAGACCACATCTCTGCTAAACTGCTCTGCGAAATGAAACTAAACAAAATACTTAGTACCCTACGCATGACCTCCAGACAGAAGGCCTGCGGTCGCGGGCGAGCACCCCGAGCTGATTATGAATGGCTGAGCTGGCTACCGTTACAAAACCCAGCACTCTTGCAGGATTTCTGCGAGGCGAACTACACTACTACCAAAAACAGCAGTCTTAACAATGCGAAACAAAGTCGAAATCAATTGGTAATCTTTAACTTCGCGTTCACTGCCGATGTCGGGTTCCGGCACATGTGAGACTTGTGAGTGCTGATAAATTATGAGAAGGACAGAAAAATACATACCCTACTGTATCGTAGTGCCCTTGCCAGGTAGCGTGACGTCGGGTCGAGCACCACGCCTGAGGCGATAAGATTTATGTTCTAACAGCATTCTTGTGAACTTTCGTTAGCATCCGGTAAACCTGACGTTAATACAGTAGCGTGCCATCCAACCAGAAACCGCGTATGCATTCAGAAATTGATTCCCCATGAATGTAATGGGAGTTGCATGCTCTGCTCCTGGGGCGGTATTCAATCCTTCCCCCAGGGGGATATATCCCCCTACTCTGATTCAATCCTCTGGGGGGACAAAAAAGGGTTGCGTCATAGGACCTCGCATACCTCTGTGTTTCTACCTGCCAGACAGTTAGAGCAGCGCGACCCCTCAGGGAAAGAGTGCTTCATCAGTGGAGGGTAGTAGCGCTGCTCTAACTGTCTGGCAGGTAGAAACACAGAGGTATGCTAGGTCCTATGACGCAACCCTTTTTTGTCCCCCCAGAGGATTGAGAGGATTGAATCAGAGGAGGGGGATATATCCCCCTGGGGGAAGGATTGAATACCGCCCCTGATATTCAAGGGACATGCAACGGCAATGAATAGATAATCAGTGCAACCTTGCCTGCTTTATGTGATG